TATATATCTCGATACATTTGAAAATGAGTATCGTATACGGATACAACATTTTAGTATCGATACTTTTGACAACCCTACTTGATACAAAGATAAATCAGGGCTGGCTACTTTTTGTAGCTTTTCTGACTTGCCCTGCAAGCTAAAACCAAATTCCCACGAGTTTCGAACCCTGCAGAGCAAACAACAAAGCACACAACGGCCGCCGGCTCTGGAGGATACAGGCCGGGTCGTCCATGTCCGGCTCCGGGGTGTCGAAGTAGGGATGAGTGCTGAGCAGTTCAGGGACCAGCGGCAGAACCAGCGTCGGGTGGCGGGAGCCCAGGAACTTCAGACATCTGGGAAAACAACCAGGAGATGAGCCAGTCCTACAAGCACTCACACATCGGCTAAAGACACACTGATGAGTTTCTGTTACAGGATGCTGCTGACAAAGAGCGTAAAGATCCACTTTAAGTTTCTGCTCTGCTGAGATGGACACAATGCTGGCTCAGCCCTTGAGTTAGGGGGAGATACACATTTTTTTGCAAATATCGGCGGCCGATCCAATCCAGATATCGGATCGGGACAAACCTAGGTCATAAACTGATCATAATTCTATTTATCTTGGGTAAAACACAAGGTGGAGGAGGCGAGTTGCCACCACCAGCCTGACCTAGTTTTAACCGCCTTAAGGTGGAAAGCCTTAACCCTATAATGCCATATCTATCATATTTGATACGGTTTCTGAAGTCTTTTAGATCTGAGACTTTTTGCATCATTCAGTGGTAAAAGCTTTGCTCAAACCCCTGTTGTACACATTCAGATATACTTGATAACAGCCAGTAGAAGACTACACCAAAATACATTTTTTACTTATTGCACGCTAATTTGATCAAAATCATTTCATTTTTTTTTTCTTCATATGTTGTTGAGGGGCCAAAGAAAGACTTCAGACTAAAAAAATCCAATATTCTTCCAATTTTTCTTGGATCAGGCTTTAAAGGGTTAAAGAGAAACAGCTACATTAGTCTGGTAAATTTAAAAGGGTAAATTGCAACTTAATACAACAGAAAAGAACACATAAGAAACATAAATAAATAAATAAAAGGAAACTAGGCCACGACCCCCCCACCACCAACTTGAATCTCTATAGGACTCTTACACATTCAGATATACCTGATAACAGCCAGTAGAAGACTACACCAAAATATATTTTTGACTTATTGCACGCTAATTTGATTTAAAAAAATTCTTTTTTTTTTTTCTTCATATGTTGTTGAGGGGCCAAAAAAACGATTTAAAAAAAAAAAAAAAAAAACAATATTCTTTCTATTTTTCTTGGATCAGGCTTTAAAGGGCTAAAGCTGTTTTTTGGCCTTTAAAGCTGTTTTTGTGCTTTTAAAACTGTTTTTGGGAGGCTTTTAAAGCTGTTTTGGGGGTCTTAACCCTATAATGCCAAATGTGTCATATTTGATACGGTTTCTTTTGGATCTGAGACTTTCTGCATCATTCAGTGGTAAAAGCTTTGCTCAAACCCCTGTTGTACACATTCAGATATACCTGATAACAGCCAGTAGAAGACTACAACAAAATATATTTTTGACTTATTGCACGCTAATTTGATCAAAATAATTTCTGTTTTCTTTTCTTCATATGTTGTTGAGGGGCGAAAGAAAGACTTCAGACTAAAAAAATTCAATATTCTTCCTATTTTTCTTGGATCAGGCTTTAAAGGGCTAAAGCTGTTTTTGTGCTTTTAAAGCTGTTTTGGGGGTTTTAACCCTATAATGCCAAATGTGTCATATTTGATTACGGTTTCTTTTGGATTTCTTCAGGCTTTAAAGGGTTAAGGCCTAGCTCCTCCGGGAAAACGGAAAAAAATAAAATAAAAAAAATAACGGCCTCCGGCCCTTTCTAATAAAAAAAGTCCCTTCTTACTTCCAGACGGAGTTGCGGTCGGTGGGGTACTTGCTGAGGTTCTTCAGCAGCTCCAGCAGGGCCAGCTGGATGCACTCTTTGGTGGAGACGTTGGTGTAGCACAGCAGCTCGTGGAGCGCCTCTCTGATGTCCCGGGACGAGTCCTGAGGGCAAGAATGGAGCCCGGTTGGATATCCGACTCCGCCCACATACCAGTCGGCCATTTTGATTAGGTCATGTGACTAGCAGCTTTCTGAGGTGGAAACGAAACTTTACTGTCTGTACGAAATCAGAAGATAAACGATGTCCTAACCCTAACCCTGATCCTAAACCAAACCCTAATCCTAAACCTAAACCTAACCCTAATCCTAAACCTGACCCTAACCCTGACCCTGACTCTAACCCTAACCCAAACCCTGATCCTGACCCTATCCCTGACCCTAAACCTAATCCTGACCCTAACCCATAACCCTAAACCTGACCCTAACCCTAATCTTGACCCTAATCCTGAGCCTAACCCTGACCCTAAACCTAAACATGACCCTAAATCTGACCCTAAACCTAACCCCGAAGCTAACCCTGACCCTAACCCTAACCCTAACCCTGACCCTAACTTAACCCTTCACCCTTCATAATTGTGATGAATAAATATTTTTTGGGTTAAACTTGTTTGGACTTATTGTACAAACCTATTTAACATCCACTATTTAACATAATATTAGGTATAGAGTTTAATTCAGTGTTTGCAAGATTAATTTCACTATTTTTAAACGAATGTCTATATTGCCATGAAGCAATTAGGACTTTCTTGCCTGGGATCTTCCTATTGGTGACCTAATCAAAATGGCCGACTTGGATGTGGATGGAGTTGGATCTCTTACCTCCAGCACGGCGAGCACGGTGTCCAGCTGGTCCTCCCTCAGCGTGATGTGGGTGGAGATCTGCCGGAGCACGTGGATGGACTGGAGCCGGACCTCCTCGATCTCGTCGTTGAACATGTCCACCAGGAAGTCCAGACACTTCTCCGCGAAGCTGGGCGAGGAGCGGGCCAGCTGGCAGAGCGCCTCCACCGCCGCGATCCGGACCTCTGAGGAGCAACAACCAGAGGGGGGAGCTCAAACCGGCGCCACTAAGCTAATTATCCAGGCCTTGGGTCAGTTTGGGGAGGCTTTGGACCAGTTTTGGACGGGTTTGTGTTCATTTTGGACAAGTTAGGGTCAGTTTTGTACCAGTTTGGGTCCCTTTTGGGCTGGATTGGGTTAGTTTGGGTCAGTTTTGGACCAGTTTGGGTCCCTTTTGGGCTGGATTGGGTTAGTTCGGGTCAGTTTTGGACCAGTTTGGGTCCTTTTTGGACTAGTTTAACTACGTTTTGGACCAGTTTGGGTCCGTTTTGGACCATTTTGGGTCCATTTTGGACCAGTTTGGGTCCCTTTTGGATTGGTTTGGCTTAGTCCGGGTCAGTTTTGGACCAGTTTGGGTCCGTTTTGGACCAGTTTGGGTCTGTGTTTTGGACCAGTTTGGGTCTGTTTTGGACCAGTTTGTGATAGTTTTGAGTTGGATTGGGTAAGTTCGGGTCAGTTTCGAACCAGTTTAAGTCTGTTTCGGACCAGTTTATGTTAGTTTTGGGTTGGTTTGGGTTAGTTCGGGTCCGTTTTGGAGCAGTTTGGGTCCTTTTTGGACTATTTTAACTCAGTTTTGGACCAGTTTGGGTCAGTTTTGGACCAGTTTGTTTTCGTTTTGAGTTGGTTTGGGTCAGTTCGGGTCAGTTTTGGACCAGTTTGTGTTAGTTTTGGGCTGGATTGTGTTAGTTCGGCTCAGTTTTGGACCAGTTTGGGTCCCGCCCCCCGTACCGAACATCTCGTCCTCCAGGCCGTGGACGAAGGCCCCGCAGGCCCCCGAGGCGATCAGGTTGACGGTGTTGGAGTCCAGCCTCTCTTTGGGAGCGTCGTCCGCCCACTTCCTGCCGGAGGAAAACTCCCCCGAGGCAAACAGCTCCTTGGCCCGTTCGTGGGCCGTTCGCTTTCTCTGAGAATTAATTATTTAAAAAATTAATCAAAAATTACTTGCACAATTTATAAATTCCTCATGAATATTTTGGGAAATGATTTTGGCTTTTATTTTTATTTTACTATTACGTGTATTTGGATTTTGATTTCATTATTTTGAGATCTAATCAACACAGGTTCACGGAAGTTATGTTGTCATGGCAACGTCAAGCAAGCTAGTGGTCGCCGAGTAAAGTCTAGTATTAGCAGACTAGTAAATTTGCATAGTCTAATGACAGAAACGAGGAGGAAATATGGCAAAGAAATTCTTTTTTTTGCCATATGAAGAACACTAGTACCTATAGGCTCATAGGTGTTTTGTCAAAAAATAAAACAGGACAATAATCAGGACAATCATTTAAAAAATGTCATGAGTGATTAGATGAAGTCTGACCCTCCCACGATCACTCAGTGGTTAAAGAGAGTAAAACATGTTTACACAATGGAACAAATGATGCCCAATTGCAAATAAAGTACCTGTTTTTATGAAGTGGAGCCCAATTACTGAATATCTTGCTTAGGACTCTTACACACTTTTACTATATCCATGTATTATTATTATTACTATTATTGTTATGGCTTTTTTAAATCTAAAATGTCCCCTTTTTGGAGTACAGAACTGGATAAGATATGTGCTATACCCTTTACAGTGTTACTTTTGGGTTACAGATTAGACCCAATATTTTATTTATTTCATTTTTATTCTGTTTGTCTGTTTTTCTTTGTAATGCTAATTGCCTGTTAATTTGCATTTAAGGCAATAAAGTATTTTTTTATGTAAAAAAAATGAACAAATAAATAAAATAAAATAAAAACAGGGGACTTTCTCACTCTCAGATCCGACATCAGCTTCTTGTCCAGAGTTTGTTCCAGGAAGTGAGGGCTGACCTGCTGCATCGAACCCTGCCAACCAGAAAGAAGTCAGAATCTCAAATCCAGCGCCTTTTTTAGACCCTGAAGGCACCACGTTTCCAGCATAAAGGACAACATAAAGGACGATCACGGTAGGGATGTCCCGATCCAGCTTTTTTTTTTTTTTTTTTTCCAATCCGATCCGATCCCGGCCTATCAGAGCACGTACTAAAGTTTAAAGGTATTTATCTACTTACTTAGTTGTCAGACTCATGTTGAACAGGGATTTACTCTGATAACAACTTAATGGTTATGTAACAGAATATTTTACACTATTTTATTTGCATTTGTCTTCTATAATAAATGGATCAGGAGAATGTTACGTCTGTGGTTAGGTTATTGTGACTTTGAGGGGAGGATATAAAATGGGGGTCCCGTCAGTTGGGATGTGACTTGAGTAGAGGAAAGATTTATTCTGTGTTCGTCAAATAAAATATATTCTTCAACCTATCTGTAGCCAGTCGGTTCCACGCCTTGGTAACGAAGAAACAAGAACCAGTACAAGAAGGTGTGGAACTTAAAAGGATATTCACAATCCAGAGTTATCTGATGTTATCAGTAAAAGGGATTTACTCTGATAACAACTTAATGGTTAGGACACAGACCTGTGGTTTAGCAGATGCTAATGCTAATGCTCGTGTGGGATCGGCCTTTTAAAAAAAACTGGATCTGGAATCTGGATCTGCCTTTTTTCCTGCTGGGATATACGCAGTTTTTTGCAAATATCGGCGGCCGATCCGATCCAGATATCGGATCGGGACAAGCCTAATATACTCTCTTTTTACATTGTCTGTATTTTTATCTTTAATCTTTAACCGGCCTAGTTCTGGGCCCTCACCAGGGTCTTGGCGGCCTGGACCCGGACCATCCAGGAGCCGTCGCTGACCATGTGACTGATCTTCCCAAAGGCGTCGTCGACCAGCCGGATCTCCTCATTGGACGACGGGATGGGCACGATGCTGATTGGACAGAGGGGAAAGCAACCTCCATTAAAGGGAAAACCAGAGAGAGGATATATGAAATGATGGATGGAGGGAAGAAGAGGTGGATGGATGAACAGATGGATGAATAGATGGATGGATGGATGGATGGATAGAATAAGGGATGGATGGATGGATAGAATAAGGGATGGATGGATGAATAGAATAAGGGATGGATGGATGAATAGAATAAGGGATGGATGGATGGATGGATGAACAGATGAGTGGATGAACAGATGGATGACTGGATGGGTGGATGGATGGAGAGATAGTTCAATGGATGGATGGATAGATTAATAGATGGATGTACAGATGGATTAACAGACAGATGGATGGATGAACAGATGGATGAACAGACGGATGAGTAGATAGATAGATAGATAGATAGATAGATAGATAGATAGATAGATAG